TTGTGGTCCTGTTCCTGCCTTTCCTTCTGCTGGTTGCTGTCGTGGCCTGGCATGTCCTTTCGTATCTGAACTCGGCGTTCTGCAGTTCCATTCGAAGGTCGGTGATGGTGTCCTCGTTCTTCTGACTCTTTGTCTCGTCGATGGCGGCATAGTGTTCCGCGATGTAGTTCCTCTGTCTCAATGCCTCCTGAATTTCGTCGGTCACGTACTTGCCATTTTGTTCGATGTAGGACATCTGCTTGTTTGCCGTCTCGAGCTCGGCCCTGAGCGCCTCCTCCCTCCTGCTCGATTCTATTTAGATCCTGGCGCTGTTCTCCTCGTTGTCGCTGCTGCTGTTGGTTTTGTTGGTGCTGTTGTTGTGGTGGCGGTGGTGGTGGTGGTTATTGTTGTTGCTGTTTTTGCTGTTATTGTAGTTGCTGCTGTTGCTGTTGTGGTTGTTGTTGTTTTGTTGTTGTTGTGATTGTAGTTGTGGTTATTAGTGTGGTTTTGGTTTTGGTTTTGGTTGTTGTTGTTGTTGTTGCTGTTGTTGTTGTTGTTGTTGTTGTTGTTGTTGTTGTTGTTGTTGTGTTGGTTGTTACTGTTGCGGTTGTTGTGGTCGTTGTTGTTGTGGTTGTTGGTTGTTGTTGCTGTTGGTGGTTGTGGTTGTTGTTGTTGTTGTTGTTGTTGTTGTTGTTGTTGTTGTTGTTGTTGTTGTTGTTGTTGTTGTTGTTGAACATTATTACTTCTAAAGAATAATTATTGTTGGGACCCCTGGTGCATGGCCCCCCCGCCGCGCCTAGGCCGCAGCCACATTTTCATCATTTTCGTGAGGAAGTCTCAGGCAAAACGGGTTGGTCCGGATCCGGTTGTTTTGTTACGATCGCTTTTCCCTTGCAAAAAACTAAAGTGGACATTTCTTGTTCTAACATAACCAAACTTCAAGAATCCCTTGCAAAAAATAAGGTAAAGTGGACATTCGCGCGCGCAAGACGAAATCCTTCCAAAACCTTAGTTTTCGTAGCGATTTTAACATAAAAACATCAAAAAACCAATGGTTTTTCAAAAAAAATTGTCAAAATTTCATCCCGCGCGCTCTTGCGGATTCGTAGGAAACCCAACACTTTTTAAACATTTCTGTCAAACGGGCTTTTGCGAGCAACTTTTTCGAACTTCTGCAACAACGGTTGCGCACCTGCCAGGGCCATCATCCCTGTCAAATAATACCATGCGGGACACATTCGTTTTTTCTTCGCGCGCGCACGCCGTCGTCGTCGGCCGCGGGGCCCTGAATAGTAGCCACGGTCGTCCGCATGCCACGAAGTGAAGTGTCCGAACGTCATAGGGCGGGAAGCTGGGTGTGGGTGGTGGCGAAGAGTCGTTTGGAAATTTGGTAGAGCTTGAACCGGCCCCCCCACAAAGTGGGGGTATTGCCCGCCTCCTATGAAAACCCTGGCACTGGTGAGAACGGAGTGTCCCCACGTGCTAGTAATTGTTGTTGTTGTTGTTGTTGTTGTTGTTGTTGTTACTGCTGCTGCTGCTATTGTTGCTGTTCGTCGTTAGCTATTCCGGTACCTGTTGGTGTCGTCCTCGTTGGCTACGCCACTATCGTACTTGCCCCCCGTGCTGTCCCTCTTGTGCTTGGAGGCCTTTGCCTCGTTCTTCCAGTGTCTTGTTGCTTGTCCTTCTCTCTGGAGCTTTCTGCTGAGGGTCTCGTAGCGGTCGGCAGCGGCCTCGCGTGCCGATCCTGGCGGTGGAGCCCCAGGGTATCCATCATGTCGTCGGCCTGTGTGTGGGGTTCCGCTTGGTGGTCTGTGGCCCTGACGCTCGTCGTCCGCTCCCGACTCCTCGCCCTCCTCAAAACCATGTCGCTCCTTATATGCTTGTACCCGTTGCGCTGGCAGCTGATTTCGGCGATGTGTTCGTTCGGCTGGGTGAGGCGCTCCTGCGCGCTGTTCCTTGCGTCCTTGAGCGTCTTCCTGTGTTCGTCGGGGTCCTTGAGTTGGCCTCTGATGTGGAGGCTGTTCTGGATCATGGTTTCGGTGAGCACGATCATGTTGATCGAGTCCTCCATGACCACTTCGGCGTGGTTGTTTCTGAGAGTGCGACGAGCGCGTAGAATTTGAGCATCCGGAGTTTTTTTGTTGTTCTTATTTCCTGCATGTGGAGCAAACCAATGAGGATCTTGTCGGTTTCTCCCATTCGGGGCGGGGTCGCGTCCCCCTTCCTCATGGGTAAGACGTCCCCGATATAACGGCATTGTGCTTTGTGGTATTTTTTTCATTGTCGTCTTGGCGGTCCTCCTCCTTCTAGTGCTTGGCGATCTGGTTCTTGTCCTCCTGGGTACTCTTATCCTTCTTCCAGTTCCAGTCTGGGTTGTCCTCTTTTCACCTGTCGTATCCTGCGCCGATTGCTGGTTTGTGCCGTGCTGTTGGCTTCGGTGACGGTTGTGGTCGTTGTGGTCGTGGTTGCCATTTGGGTTGGTATTTGGGTGCTTCTTTCGGTAAGGTGGCTGCTCGAAATCGTGGTGGCTGTTGGGCGCGCTGGGGAGGTCCCGTGCGCTGGCGATGCGCAACAAGACTCGCGCGTCGGTGCGCGCGCTCCGCAGCCGCCTATGCTAGGCGGGACTGCGGGACCGGTGGGTTCTGCTCCTGGATGTCGTTTTCGGCATGGGGCCCTGCAGGCCGCGAGAACAGCAGAGCTTAATGTGGATGTGGCGGTGCGATATCGCGGGCGCATGCACCGCCGCGCTGGCCGCTGTCGCGAAATTTGAGGGCCTGTCCCTCAGGGGGCGGGTTCGGGCGCACGCGGTTCCTCCTGCTCCTCCTCCTTCTCCTCCACCTCCTCCTCCTCTTGAGGATTCTCAGACGGTCGTCTTCTAATGGGCCACTTCCCGCAATGAAGTTCAATTCTATTTGGGACCTATGACGGGGTAGGGATCTTGGAGGGAGGTTTTGTTGCAACATCGTTGATGCGTCTCGGGTTTACACTCGTCCTCCTCCTCCTCTTTCTCCTCGTCCTCTTTCGCCTCCTCCTCCTCCTCGTCCTCCTCGTCCTCCTCCCCCTCTTGAGGCCATTCTCTCCCTCCTCGACCCCCGTGAGGGTCGAGGGCAGAGCGTGGCAGGCTGGAGGGCCGCCAGCGGCGGAAGCCGACCCAGACATCCAGTGCTCTTCTTTTTTTCCATGCCTGGGTCCCCAGGGGTCTGAACGACTTCCCCACAGGACCAGCTTTTCGTCCCGAGCTGTCTTTTGCGGTCCTGGGGCCCGTGGAGGGCCTTTGGACGCCGAAAACTATCAGAAACCGCCACTCGCGGAGGGCCGCCGCCGCCGCCGCCGACGACGACGACGACGACGACGAGGCGATCCAATCTTTTCGGGGCCACGGATCTCTGGATCGGGGAAAGACTCGAGTAAGCCGGGACCCCGGGTTTGCCGACTTTTTTTTGACGAGCGCGTCGTGGATTTTGACGGTCCCGCTTTCGTGGGATGTCTGCAGCGGGAGCCCGCGTCAGATTTCAGACTGGGTCTCGTCAATTTTACGATGGCCGCGTCCGGCCAACCCGAGTCCCACGTACTCTTCAGTCGGGCGTGTCCCTCTTTTGGGGGAATCTTATTGTGTGCAAAGTCAGAGCCTTAAATTAGTCATCAACCTCGCCCTTGTCTTGGTATGATCAACCGAAGAACTTCCTTTCTCCCCGCTTCTGCTCCTCGGTGCGCCGCTCGCGTTCCCCTCCCGCTTTTATCCTTCGCCCCCCTTTTCTATCCTTAGCCACTCCCTGTCCCCATTGTCCGTCATTCGGTTGGCCCCAGAGGTGGCTCTCGAGGCTTTTGTATCAGACCTCCCCACCTTTCTTCTTCGTCGTCCCTCCCCTGCGTGACTGTCCAGGCCGTTGCGGCACATGCCCGAATAAAAACACAAAACAAATATGTTCTGTCATGTTCTGTTCGGGTGCGTTCTGTGATATGCTGGTGTCCTCTGTTTTGTCATGATATTGATATGGTATGTTCTGCCATGTTCTGTCATGCTCTTGCTCTGTTCTGTCATGTTCTGTTGTGCCAAATTGTGTTCTGTCGTGTTTGTCGAGGGCGCGAGGCGGGATAATCGGGACGCTCGGGGCAACTTGGGGTCTGGCGGCCGCGGTATGCAGGGTGTGTTCTGTTGTGTTTGTCGAGGGCGCGAGGCGGGATAACCGGGACGCTCGTGGCAACTTAGGGTCTGGCGGCCGCGGTATGCAGGGTGTGTTCTGTTGTGTTTGTCGAGGGTGCGAGGCGGGATAACAGGGACGCTCGGGGCAACTTGGGGTCTGGCGGCCGCGGTATGCAGGGTGTGTTCTGTCGTGTTTGTCGAGGGCGCGAGGCGGGATAACAGGGACGCTCGGGGCAACTCGGGGTCTGGCGGCCGCGGTATGCAGTGTGAGAGTGTCTGGGAGGTCTGTTTCTAAAATCTAGCGACCCTAGCCTGTCCGGTTGGGAACAGCACAAACAAAACTCAAAAACACACAAAAGGTACAACAACACACAACACAATACTGGACGGAGCATACAAATCACAAACAACCGCACACACGCACGCAAACATGACTAAATTATGGCTCTGACTTTGCACACACAAATATTCAAAAATAGTGAAAAATAGTCAGGGGACGATTTTTTGAATATATTCTGACTATTTGGGGGCATTTTTGGGGTATGCCCAAAATCCGCCTGTAGGGGAACACGTCCGACCTAAACGTCTCCCCGACTGGAGACCAGCGGCGGCGGCCCTCGAAGCGCTCGAGAGCCTCGAGACGGGGGTCGATGCAAACGGGGGTCAGCCAGAGCGCCCGATCTTGCAGGATCCTGCAGGGCCAGGGTCGCATTGACCGGGGCTTGGGTGCAGGATCCTACAGGATCCTGCAGGATCCTTCGCGTTGAGCCGGGTCTGGGTGCAGGATCTTGCAGCATTCTGCAAGGCCTGGCCGACCCGTGTCTGGCTGGACCCGGGTCGGAAGATCCCGGAAGCGCGGCGGCCGCTCTTCCGCGAGGAGCCCAGGCGAGGCGGCGGGAAACGCGCGGCTGAGCTCCGACGGCGGCCCGCGGCGGGGCTCCGACGCCGAGGTCGCCCGGGGATGGCTGCAAGGTCGTCCTCCTCCAATCGTCGTCGTCGTCGTCCTCCTCCTCCTCCTCCTCCCCTCCCCCTCCTTCTCCTCCTCCTTCTCCTCCTCCTCCTCGTCCTCCTCCTCCTCCTCCCTTCCTCCTCCTCCCTTCCTCCTTCTCCTCCTCCTCCTGCTCCTCCTCCTCCTCCTCCTCCTCCTCCTCTTCCTCATCCAATCGTCGTCGTCCTCCTCCAATCGTCGTCGTCGTCGTCCTCCTCCTCCTCCTCCTCCTTTCTCCTCCTCTCGCTGGTGCTGGTTATACTTCTGGGATGTTGCTGTACAAGAGCCACTTGTCAGTCTCTGCCGCACGCCACGGCGGAGCGGGCGGGTTGCTCGAGAGATGCGGCGGTCGTCCCCATTCCACTACCTTGTCTTCTCATTCTCCTTCTCCTCCTCCTCCTCCTCCTTCTCTTTCTCCTTCTCCTTCTCCTTCTCCTTCTCCTTCTCCTTCTCCTTCTCCTTCTCCTTCTCCTTCTCCTTCTCCTTCTCCTTCTCCTTCTCCTTCTCCTTCTCCTTCTCCTTATTCTTCTTCCTCCAAGCTCGAGGGTCGAGGGCGCTGCGTAGAGGGCGATAAATCTGGACCCCCTCGGGTCATGAAAGAATAATGGCGGACGTCATTTCGCTATTGTCGGTCTTTGGAGGCCCTTACCAGGCCTCGGGACCGTGAGACAATTATTCAGGATGGGAAATGGGTCCAGGGGAGTGGGTGGAGCCCTCTGGGGGTGGACGTAATGAGAAACATCATGATGGCGGGGGTCTGGGAAGGGGGGCCCGAAGAGAGGTGACCTCTCGTGCACTTCTGGGGCCCTGCAGGGGGCCTCTGGGGCCCAAAAGGGGCACGACAGGTGCACGTGTTCTTAGGAGGAGACAAACAAAACATACAGACACCATGGATCGTCGGTTCCCAGAAGGTAGGGGAACATATGGGCAGTGGGGGGAAGACGAAAACCAACGAACCAACCGATTAAAGATCTTTGATACTTTCTCTTGGCGGTCGTCGTCGCAAGCTCGTTCGAATCATCGGCTGCGTCCGCAAGGTCGCCCCAACTTGCGTAGCAAGCGCGACTGCGCGCGGCTGGTGAGATGAGCTTTTGGAGCCAATCTCTCGCAAGAGGTCAAGAGACCTACGCATTGCCTTGCCCTCGTCCGCGAGTTAGTTCGTTTTTTTTTGGGTGGGTGGGTGGGGGGTGGGGGAGCTTGCGCCCTTGTGCGGTTTTCATGTCGGTTAGTCAGAATTGCGTGTTTCATTGGCTGACTGGTGTCGATGAGCCCTTCGTGGCGCGCGCGCCTCCTTCCAGTGCGACCAAGGCTCTACTTCAATCGCGTTCTCCGCATTTTTCGGCCACAGGGCCCAACGTGAAAATTCAAAGTTTTTTAATCGGCGGGTTGAAGTATGAGAAAATATGGGGGAATACGAGAATCCAGAACATAGGAGAAAACATGGGGGATCCTGGGATTTGTGCGTATTTGTTTGTGTGTCCTTGGGCCCCTTCCGTCTCGCCGCCCCCCCCCCCCCGCTTCTGTCGCCCCCCCCTGCAGCAGCGCCCGACGGGTCGAGGGCGGGTGCGGGAGGAAGAGCTGGTCCCCGCGAAGGGGTCCCGACCTCCGGGGGTCCACGTCGTGAACAAGAGCGTGACGTCGGGGGTCCTGGTGTGGGGAGGGGAGGCGGAGCCAGGGAGCGAGGGAGCGGGGAGGGACGGAGGAGAGAGGAGCACGACAGATCCGCTCTTGGCGTGCTGGTGCAGATCGTGCAGGGAGGTGGAGGTACGTCGGGCCCTCCCCTTGCGGCCGTCGTCGTCGGCCGAGGGGCCGTCGGGGAGGGGAGTCCTGAGGGTTCCTGGGGTCAAATATCGGCCCTCAGGCTCGAGGGTCCTGGATCCTCAGAATGCCGAGGAGGAGGAGGAGGAGGAGGAGGAGGAGGAGGAGGAGGAGGAGGAGGAGGAGGAGGCGGTTGGTTGGCCCACCATTCTTCGGCCCAATGCCCCCTCTGGAGTGATGATCCTCAGGCCGTGAGGTAACCAACTTGTGTTCGCCCCGTTCCCTTCACCGATAGCACGGAGGCTACCCTTACATTCTCGCGTGGGCAAGTTGGGCCACTTTTGGTCTACTGGACCCGTACAAGCTCCGCGACCGTCAGCAAGACGGCTCGTGATGACAAACCGGCCCCCAGAAGGGGTCCGGACCTTTGGGGAGCCACGCTGTGAAGCAGGCACGACGTCGGACGTCTGGGTGTGTCGGCCCTGTTCGGCCAGGAGCTTGGGCTTAGCGTGTCGCTCCGCCCTGTTCCGAACCACCACGCTTATTCGCGACACGCTATCTCTGGCCCGGTCCCCAGGCGTCTACGTCCCGAACTGTTTCCAGCCTCCCGCCGCCTTCGAGCGGAGCGACA